TGTGGGTACATCGTGGAGCAGGGCGCTCAGTGGCTGGCTGGGCAGGGCCAGCAGGGGTACTGCTGGGCTGGGCCCCTTGGCGAGGTGGCCCATCATGGATGGCCCTCCCAGCCTGCTAACGGCTGCGCCAAGCACTGCCCGGGAGAGGCCTGGGGCACAATCAGGCTCCTCAGCTTGCAGGGGGCTGGGGTTTGATCTTTCAGCACTTGCTTGAGATTTATTGGTGGCCCTGAAAGGGCTGCCGTCAGGAGGCCTGGGATGGCTGACGGGGCCTCCTGGCTGTTTACTCTGAGCTGAGGAATTTGAGGGCTCAGTCCTGCTGGAGGGTGTCTAACCTGGGCATAGCCGCTTAGAGTAGTCCACCTGGCCCCAGAGCCTGGCCGAAGGGGACAGGGCTCAGAGATGGTGGATTTGGATACCTCCCTGATGTTACAGACAGGAAAACAGAGGTTGGAGTGGGAAAGTGACCAGCCCCAAGTCGGGTGGCAAAGCTGTGCTCTAGTTAAGACCAGAAGCCAAGCTAGGACAGCACGATTGAGAATCGTCACTTTATATGAATGTCCTCGTGTACTGACTCCCCACTAGGGTGCTCACTCCGTGAGAGCAGGGCCTCGGGTGTGTGATAACGTCCTGGACACCTGTAGCAAGCCTCTTGTTGAATTGTGAATGAAGTCAGAGGACCCGGGCAGGGCTTCCTTTTCCCGCATTATAAGGCATTTTTGTCCTCATGATCCCAAAATGACTTCTGTTCCTCCGGCCAGGCCACTATAACTACGTTTCTGGCAGGAGTTTCGAAAGGCGTGAGGACCATGAGTAGACATGAAGTCTGTCCCTTTCAAATGAAAAAGATTGTAGGTTTCCTAGAAGTGCCTAATAGCACGTTGGCCAAAGCATAAATAGCAGTCCTTTGTCTTGTTTTTTATTTTTATCTCTCCACCCTTACCCTGGACGAGACCTACCACTTTGTTGTGTGGTGGTGTTATTTTTGTTTGATTAGATAAAAATCCCCTCTCTGGGGGAAATGCCCTCACAGGCTCTTCTTTCTGGGGTGTTAGTAGCAGGTGTGTCCCTGACCCGCCTACTTTCTAGGGGCCTGAGACCCCAAGCTCAGGGTTAGTTGACAGACACTGAGGAGATAGGGATCACCCCCCCGGCACCCTAGCACCCCTGGGAGGCGAGAGGGGAGCCCGCTCCCCCAGCTTCAAAGCCAGTGTTCTGCTGCCCTCAACTGCACTGTGCCCACGGCCCAAAGTGCTGCACGCCGGGGAGTGCTCGGAGCTGAGCTTCAGCCAGAGGACACCAGCATGGCTGCTCTGGGTCCTTAGGGCCAGCATTCCTCCTGGCCTCCAGGGCCATTACCCTGGGTCTCAGCCTGCAGAACCTGAGGCAGTATCATGCCTACACTGCCCAGCTGAGGAGCAGACAGTGTGGGCCACATGGCCTCAAGTCAGGGTCTCCTGCTGCCCGAGGGTCACTGTAGGAAGCTGACCTTCCCTGGAGCTGCCCTTGGCTGTCCCCTCCCTGGCATGCCTCCTAAGCACCAGTCCCCAGGAAGACCTGCTTTCTAGAGGTTCTGCTGCTGTTGCTCTGCAGCAGGTCACTGTCCCCTGGGTCTGCCAGGAGCACACAACAGCTCTCCCTGCCTTCCTCACCCCTCTGGGGCTCAAGAGGTGCCCCCCAGTCAGGTTTAACTGAGAACAGAGGTAATCATAGTAACAATTGTAATCAAAAAAGCCCCCACCGTAACACTTGCTGTGACCCAAGAGCTCCTAAGTGCTTCATCTAGAGTAATTGAAAGGACACGTGACTCGCAAAAGCTTTGTTTAAGTTTGAAACCTGGCAGCATCAAGGAGTTTATTTTTACCTCCAGGCCTGTGGGTGGAGAGGGAAGTTCCAATAATGTTCTTCTTACTTAACAAAGAAAGCTCGAGAGCCATTGTGCCTTTGAGGAAACAGAGATTCTGTGTAAATATTAATAACCGCAGCGGCACTCTACCGAGCAGGACCGCCAGCCAGGGCTTCAGGCTTTTGGGGATTAAAGATGACTTTCGGGTTCAGGAATAATCTCTGAAGGCAGATTAGAAGCTCTTTTGTCTGAAATAACTTTACCAAAGACAGTTTTATAAGCTGGTTTCAAGGTTCTAATCTGCCCCATGGGGACCATGGGAGTCTGGAACATTCCTCAGCCTTATCTTGGTGAGTTGGGACGGTCTGAGTGTCCACGGCTCTGCCCGTGGTCGGGGCTGAGCAGGGTGCACTCCTGGAATCCCAGCGGCCTGGGAGGCTGAGGCAGGAGGATCACAAGTTTGAGACCAGCCTCAGCCATTTAACTAGACTCTAAGCAACTCAGCAAGACCCTGTCTCAAAATAAAAAAATAAAAGAAGGGCTGGGGATGTGGCTCAGTGGTTAAGTGCCTCTGAGTGCCATCCCTGGTACGGGGGTGGGGAGGTGGCGAGGAGAAGCTCAGACGCATCATTTGAGGTGGAAAAAGGCTGGGTATGAATAAGGCTGTCTGCAGCACTGTCGCTGCGTGTTCATCTTCTCATTTGATCTTCACACATGACGTGGGTGTTCCGTTAGCCCATCTCGCACAGGAAGAAACTGAGGCTCAGAAGTTCACAGCTGGCTGGGCTCATACAGCGAGGAAGTCAAGGGCTGCGCTGGTGTGGCTGGGGGCTGTGGCTTCCGTGACGGGTGCTTGGTGGCTCCAGTGCCAGAGGGCCTTGGCTGCCTGGGAACTCTGCTGAGCAGCTTTATGGGCTTCCCATGGCTGTTGTCACAAACTGCTATCAACCGTTACCTTATTGTCCTGGTGGCCAGGAGTCCCACATGGGTCTCCCCAGCCTAAAATCAAGGCACGGAGCCCTAGAGGGGAGTCTATTCCCTGGCTGCTGCCTGCCTTCCTGGCTCGTGGCCCCTTCTGCCATCTTCAGAGCCCACAGTGTAGCACCGTCCAGTCTCTGGCCCTGTATCCCTGTCTGTCTTTCAGTTATGGGACTTGTTGGATGACATTGGGCCACCCATCCAGGACCACATGTGGAGTTGCATCACTTAACGAACGACATTTGCGGAGCCCTTTGCCATGTAAGATAATGCAGCACAATTCAGGAATGAGGAGGTGGTGTCTGTGTGTGTCGTGGCGGGAGAGCTTGCTCAGTCCTCAGGTGGGTAGAAAAAATCAAGAGGGTCGGGCTGGCATTGCACTGGGAGTGACTGAGAACCCCACCCAGGACCTGCGTGTGTTGGACCCAACAAGGAACAAAGGTCTCCATCAGAACTCCAGTGCTCCGGGAAGGAGACACTGGCCAGTGGGAAACACTGCTTGTGGTCAGCTCAGGACTGGGATCAAAGTCAGGTTCAAATCCTACCTCTTCCTCCTCCCAGGGACCAGAGTATGGCTGTGATGGGGAGCAGGGAGGGACTGGAAAGGAGGAAATAAACAGACGGCATTCATGTGACCTGATTTTATCTCTGTCTACCACAGCCTGCCAAGCAAACTCCTGCCTCGTTTTGCAAATGTGAAAACAACAGCTCAGAGAGATCAAGCACTTTTCCTGAGATCACACCGCCACTTAGGGAGCTGGGATTTCCCAGGCTCTGGGATTTCCACTCCAGCTACTTGGCTGTCTGCCACATCTGTGTGCATGTTAGACTTTTAACATATTTTCTTTAAATCAGCTTACTGCTTTTTAATTTAAATGCATCTGTTTTTAAATGAAACTATGTTTCTCCCATAAGTGGAATTCATGGGCTAGTTATGTATATTTTTGTACTGCACATTAAAATGAATTTATCACTATAAAAATGAAAAATGTTCATTCATAGATCATAAAATTGTGTCACATGCCATTGATGTGCTTCATCCCTCTCTTTGGGAATCGACTCCACACCTATTCTGGTTTCACCAAACCATAGTGTTCCTAACTGTTCTTCTTTATTATGGTATGGAATCTTCCAGAGGCTTCCCAGCACAATCAAATGCAGACACCTCAGAGTGGTCTCAGAGCCCTCCTGACCCCCGCTTTATGACCCTCTAGTTCCCCTGGCTTTGCAGATTTTCTCGTGGCCTTGGCTACCCAGCCAGAGGAGCCAGCATTCAAGCCCAGGCCAAGGGTAATCACTGCTCCGAGTCCCCTGCTGAGATGTTAGGGTTTAGGAAAAGAAACAGGCTTGGAAATGAAGTAGGAGAGGGTCTGGCTGCATTTCCCAGGAAACCCAAACTTGCAGAGTCCTCTTGGTCTCATTGGTTGTCAGAAAAAAGTTAGATCAAGCCTACCAGCCTGGTTTTATGGGCACGACCGAGCAACTTTTGCCAAGGCAAAGGGGCTTAGAGACTTTTTATAACCTCTCCTGAGGCAGAAATGATGGGCTGCTGTGGTGTCCATTCCAAACTCCGTGATGCCATGGGAGGGCGGGGCTTCCCTGGGCTGTTTGCTATGTTGCGAGTGAGCGGGGCGAATTCCAACTTTCCCTAAGAGCCAGGGAGGAAAAGAACTCCCTGGTTTCCTGTGTCAGGGAGGCTTGAGGCCCACAAGTGGGTTCCACGAGGTCTTCCAGATCGCCATGAGGAGCTACAGGTGAGTCGGAGGGAGAGCCCGGGTCTGGGTCTGACTCCAGGTGGCTTTCCCTAGGAATTCTCCTCCTGACCTAGTTGGGAACAATGGGAAGACCTCAGCTCTAGGAGTGACTTCTGGAAGCAGTCATTCTACTTCAAATCCTGCTCCTCCTTTGACTGGACAAATGACCTTGGACAAGTAATTTTCCCTCTCTGTGCCTCAGTTTCTTCAGTTGTAAAATGGGGATGATAATAGCCCTTCCTTCAAAGGGTTGAGAGGAGGAGTGTGGGAGCTTATGCAGTGCATGCCTAGAACACAGGGCACCGTTGACTGGATGATGGCTTTCTCTACAACCAGACAGACCTAGGTTTGAATCCTGTCACTAACTGCTGTGTGATTTGGGGCAAGTGCCTTGACCTCTCTGGACCTCTGTTTTTTTTTAGCAATGGACTTGGCCACCATCCTGGCTTCCAGGGGTGGTGGTGAGCATCCAGGAAGTAGGATGTGTGCAGCTGCTTGTCTGGATCTGGCAAAGGGCAGGTAGGGAGGGAATAGGGGTCCGCCTTCCCCCAAGGTCCCTGGGATTGACGAAGGCTGATTGGGTCCTCTGAAGCAGGCTGCTGTCCTTCCCCGCCCACTGCAGAGCTGCCCGCCCCAGTTGTGACGACCTTGCCCCTGCCTGTCTGCAGGGCAGGCCGGAAGTGAGGCGGGCAGCCTGCAGCTTCCCTTTTTCTGCCCTGCTCTAGGCGCTGGGCTCCTTCCCCCTCAGTGACTCAGAGGAGGGGACAGTGGCACCATGGCCCCACGCGCGGCACCCATCCGCCAGACCTGCTGCTGCTTCAATGTCAGGGTAGTCACCACCGCCCTGGCCATCTACCATGTGGTGAGTGTGCGGTCCTGGGGCGAGGCACGTGTGTGCGTGTGCGTGTGTGTGTGTGTGTGTGTGTGTGTGGCGCCTGCTGAGCCCCGCTCTCCCTCCTCTCTGCCTGCCCCCTCTCTGCTGGACCCTGGGCATCCCTTCCAACTTGGGGCCTCAATTCTCCCTGACAAATGGGGACCCTAGAGACTCCGATTCTTGCACTGGGCCTGGACAGGCTGGGCTGCGCAGGATCTGGACATGGGCTGGACATGGGCTGGACATGGGCTGGACACGGACTGTCCCCTTCGTGCTTCTTATGGGAGGGAGCCAAGCCCTCTTGGCCTAGGGCTCAGCCCAGCTGTGGCCTCTGCCACCAAAGGGAGATGTTGGCCGGCTCAGCGACTGTGCGGCCAGCGGGAGTGGCACTGGGGGCTCCTCTCTGGGGGCTGCTGTGTGCTGACCGGCAGGAAGCCTTTGTCTTTGTCATCTCAGTGTGACTTTGGGCAAGTCACAGCCCCCAGAGTCAAGGCTCTTTCTTGTCTGGGGTGGCTGAAGTTTGGGGTCCTGTTCTGTCCCAATTCACACCCTCCCCCGACTGCGGCCACACCCAGCTCCCCCAGACTCAGCGCCTTCCTGCCAGGGTGACTCAGGCACGGCCTGTGGCTAATAGTTCTCTCATCGGCCTGAAAGAACTTCCTCAAAATCAGCCTAAATCTGCAAGCCGCTCCGGCCTGCTGCACATCCTGAGACCTGGCTGCTTCAGCTGTGTTTGCAGGCAGCGTGGCCAGGCTGTGGGAAGAGCTGGCCCTCAGGGCTCGTGCGGTCAATGGTTAGCACACAGCCTCGGGCCAGACTCCTGTGTATACATCTGGCCTCCCTGCTTCTGTACTGTGCAATCCTGGCCAACTTACTTACCTTCTCTGATTCCATTCTTCATCTAACCAATGGGGATGAAAATAATAAGCAAACAATAATAGGGTCGCCGTGAAGACAAGGAGCTCATTTCTACCGGGTGCTGCACAGTTGCGTGTTTCATGGTTAATGGTGCTCCAACAGGGTTGCCCCTTTGGTTCTGAGAGGAGGGCAGAGGTTGTCCTGCTCAGCTCCTGTCCATGCAAGAGCTGGGAGTGGCAGGTGACACATCAACTGTCCCCATGTCTAGTCTTTAGGGCCTTCAGTCTCTGAGACTCTGCAGTATTCTCAGAAGGACGGTGAGGTTTGCAGAGGTGTCCCTGCAGGAGGTCCCTGGGTCCTTCCCCAGCTCTGCCACTACCTGGTTGTGTGGCCTCAGCCTCCTGTCTCTGATCTGTTTCCTCTTTAGAAAGTCAGAGGCGAGGGGGTGTTGACGGCGGGGTGCAGACAGCCCGTGTGGGGCGCCTGTGGGCAGGTGGGCCTGCGGTGGCCTGGGGGCCCGGCTCCGTGTTCCCTGCGGCTGCTCTTCATTTCTGCTCATTGTCGCCACGGGGGACTGCGGGCACGGGCAGCCGCTCCTCTGACTTAGAGAAGCGGGAAGCAGGCTCTTCTGTCGGCCTTCTGAGGTCTCAGTGTTGGTGGCCGCGGCGGGGAAAGGACTCACCAGAGGCAGACCTCAGGGCAGCGCGTCTCTTGAGGTTTCCTCTCAACCCTGAGGTCCTTACCCGAAATGGTCAAGCCGCATCCAGTCCCCTCGCACAAACTGGAGAATGTGTGGGTCACTTCTCGGAGGTGGTGGCACTGCGGGAGGCGCAGGGTCTACCTGGATGGACAAGAAGCTGGCGTGTCAGTGTG